AATCGGGAATTCCCGAAAAATCTCGTCTTTAGAAATTAACTTATATTATGCACAAGATTCATAAACATCGATTAACTATTTTTTTGTAGCGAACAATATATTCAAGAAATTTGGTCCAATATTTGGACAAAAATAGCCCAATTTTGACCTTTTTATACTATTTTTACATTTTTGTTGTTATAAAAGGTCGACTTCAGAACCATTTTTCCCCATAGACCTAATGTTAAGAAAATTGACAATTTCTTGTCAATGGCTGGACTAATCCGAATCAAACTTTGCTATCATTGACTATGACACCTCCTCTTCCAAATAGCATACCCGCTATCTCCCGACCCCCCTTTTAACTGGGGTAAAATCATAGCATTTCGAAATAACCCAAAATTTTTTATGTTTTAGTCACGTGATTTAAATAATTTTTTGCTACAAAAAAACTAGACATGTGAAATTTTGTTTTGCAGTTTACAAAATTGATCTAGCTCATTCCGTTTGAGAGATATAACGATTTCAGAGGCGCACGATTTTTTTAACGGACTGGATAATATCTTAATAAACATATAAAAGTCCTATTGGATTTACACAAAATAATTTAGTACATTCATTAATTAAATACTTTTCTCAAACATATATTCACACATACAATGTATATTATACAATGTACACTACAAATATAAAGTATCTACATAGACGTTTGTTATCAGTACATAAAAACTATTTGATGTAGGCTTCCAAACTTTTCACTGTTGTGTAATATAATTATCAAGTTATTAATCGCATTTAAATATATAAAAAACATTTGACTTTTATTGCAAACCGAGAAATAAGTCCAATTGTATGCAAATTATTAGGTTTTAATAAAAGTGCAAATTTAGTGCCGATTTATATTGAATTGTTTGACTATAAATAAACTATATATTGTACACAATAGCTAAACCAGTAATTGTTCTTGAAATTGATTGTAATTTTATCATTTTTACCACTATTGTTTAAACTTTAACAACATTATTTTTTGGAATAAATTAATATTGATCTATTTTTGTTTATTTATCGTATATATAAAGTATATATAATTAGTTTAATTAATTGATGCCATTTATATGGTATTAATGGATGTCTCACGCGTTTAATGACTGTCATTAAAATAAAAAATTAATTTTAAGTAGTAAAGTTTTTTTTACAAATATAACAATTTAATCTCTGTTTAATTTTATAAATTAGTACTTATTTTTAAAATATCATTTATTATGGTTATTGGTTGTCTTATTTCTAAATAATAAATATTGAGACCATATATTGGCTTAAATTGTGTAAAATTAGTTTCAAAGTACGGTATCAGCAGTTTATAGAGATATAAATTACATAAAATTGCTTTATTATGGATATTTAACATTGTATACACAAAAATTGATTCTACATATCATTTAAGCCCATTAATAGACATCTTCTCATATCAGACACATTTATCACTCGATATTCATAACTCAATATATTGTGTAAAGTATATTGTAATCATAATTTCCATTCCTCTCAAAATGAAACTTTTCCCTAAAAAATCATTTTTCATTCACTTATCATGTAATCAAATCATTAAACGCCATAAAAAAATTAATACAAATTATTGAATACTTTTGCTAATTAGTGATTAAAACCTCTTTGTTAGCTGAAATTGCATTTGCAATAACTATTTAATTAATAAATGATATTAAATATTATATAAATTCTTTATGTAATTTGTGCTGTAATTATAAAAGTTTTTATTAAAAAAATTACATTATATTACACTTCTTTTGCCAATTTGTAGGTTTGTAATTATTTTTCTAATATATTTAAAATGTATACGACCATTGTATGCGTTTTAGCAATATTACCTAGGAGTTGCATAACTTTGAAATACTAAAGAGTTGTTTTATAATTTTTAATCTTAAGTTGTTTTATAATTTTTATAAAACCTGTGTTTGAGAAATGTTCTCTATTTATTATTCTGCTATAAGTACAAAAAGTGTGTGTTATTTATTATCCTTAACTCATTACTGGCATACAAACTGTATTGCATTATATTTTGTACGTGAAGTTAATGAAGTTGTATTATTATAACAAATTAACACATGTCAATTGCGAAATCTTAATAGTTAAATAAGTATAAGTAATAGAGTAGAGTATCCATATTGCTCAATAATTCGACTGTCAGGGATCAGACTTGATATTTAGATTTACCTCAAATCATATATAATATATAAATTATTTAATAGTTATTTTATAAAATTGTGTCCATACAACTACAGTACTATAATACTGTACAGTTGTAGTATAGCTGATAATACAAGCCGTATAGGGTCTGTAGGGACCCGAACACCTATATTTTCTACTTATAGTCGTTATATTAATAAAAATAGTCAATTGTTTTGATAAGAAAATGTATTAAAACTTTTGTAGGTTATAAGCAAAATTACTTAATGATATTAATTCGAATGATATTACTACGGTAATTACTAATTATAACATGAAACTTAAATGTAAAAATTATTTGATTTTTTAATTTAAAATAAACATTTGAATTATTTATGAAACTATGGGTTTAAAGTTAATTATTAATTCTCTTATGAAAAAAGTTTGTCTGAATTCATTACAAACGAAAATAAATTTGTAAAAACTTTTTGGAATTTTTAAAATAACAAAAATACTGATATATTCCGGTCTTTGAGATACTTTTTAGTCACATTTGACTTTAAATTGAGAATTAGATTAGAAAACTAGACGTGAAGTGTTTGAACAAATCGTTATTACTATTAGTTTTTTGTTGTGCAGACTATCGGAGCAATACTTTTATGAAATAAGCGATATATCATTTGAAACGAATTGCGTTCACAATAAACAACACCAAAAGAATATGTGTTTCGTTTCACAAGAAGTGAAGAGTGCTTTCAATTTAATAATAATCTCAAACTTGAGTTCCGTTTGAATTTAATTTCAAAAACATTTAAAAAGCATGAATTGATGTTTGAATTGGAGTTCACATAAGAGTGTCGACGGAATGAAAGATTTTCTTAATTATGAATATTAATAAACAATTAATTCATGAATTAAAAGTATGATTTACTTCAAACTGTAATTACATTAATGAATACATTGAAATTATAAGTAGAAATATAAAATACAATACATTATGTGAGAAATAAACGAATGAAATGTTTGAAAACAAGATTTTAAATTATAAAAATTTGCATTATTTGTTAAATTGTTTTACATATATTGTCTACAATAGAATGATTGAAATAATGATTTGATATTTTAGGCACAATTAATGATTGTGTTTAATGTACTCATTGTTCAATTCATTTTGTATAATTTTTTGAAGTTTTTTTTGTGATATTAAATATTTTATTTTATATAAACATTTTTTCTTAATTTTTGTTAAATCCATTTTAAGTATAATATTATTTTACATTATGTTTATCACAATTCCATCTGTAATAACATTATTATGATTGTATTTCCATAAGATATTTGTCTAATTAAAAGCATAAGATGTGAAACGAAAACTAATAAATGAAAAATAAAATTACTTTTAATTACAGAATATATTTAAATTTGAGCCCTTTTTACCAATGATTTTACCCCAAAATTTTAAGTTGAATTCTTTGCACTCGTTTTCATCCCTCATATATCATATCATATGATATTCTTATTAAATATTAATAAAATCGAAATGAATTGAGAATATATTATAATTTTTCTGTAATTATATCTATAGTAATAGAATTGTTAATATGTTTTTAGAGTAGCCATCGTTTAGAATACAAATGTTGCCATAAAAGCAATTGAAGTAAAATTGAATAAAACAGTTGATATGCTTTGAAGACTTTTGGCGTCCAGAATGACGATGAAGTGGCTATAAATACAATACACAAATACATTGTATTATCAAACAAATGGTAAGCCAAACATAGGGACAATGGTTAGTGGTTTTAGTGTTAAACCTTGATTTAAAGGACTTATATGAAAACTGGATGATTGCTGTCGTCCACCAAAAACCAACTCTTCGTTAGACATGATATACATCCGTGAAATCGTCGCTTCGCCGCAAATATAACATCACATTACAAATAAAGTCATTTAACACATACTATACTATTTACTACATCCCAAAAAACATAACATCTTATCTTAAATAACATATATTTTGTTTGTTTCACTATTTATGATGTCGTGTAACACAATCTCATTCATTAAATATTTTATTTACAATTTTCTATATTTCATTTTTGGCTCAAACTATTTAAAAGCATTAAAATTACTCTTTCCTGCAATGATTTGTGTTTATTATAGTCTATAATATATTACATAACTTATATATAGTATACTTATCTAATATTTCACATATAAAAAGGTAAATGGGATATAGTAATTTGCCAGTGCTATGACCTACCTGTGCATTTTAATTTCATGTTTCCTGATTGAAAATGTTCTTCAGTTACTGTATAGAGAAATGTAGACAAAATCATAATGAGTTTGTTTCATATAAAATAGCCGTAAATATTGTTTAATATTTATTTCATATAATTATTATTGATATAAAATATCCATAAAAATATTAGCAATAATTTTGGTCTCGATATCCGTTTAGATTATTTGATGGGTTTGTAATGAATGCAATTCAAAATGTTATCATAAGCTATGCTTTTAAAATAAAAAAATCTCGTATAAAATCTCAATCTCGATGTTATTAACATTGATTGAGCCATAAATAGTAATGCTATTAAAATTTATTCATGAACTCAAGTCTCCAAAGGTATACACTTTTCATAGTTTTATTAAATTGAAGAGATTTTCTTATAAAATATTGGATTCACATTTTAAAATAGACTTTTTTGTCGGAAAATATGTGTTGAATATATAGTGTATATTCAAGTCATCTTCCGATGGGAAGAATCAAATGACAAGAATTGAGACAAAAATGTATTCAAGATCTATATTATGTGACAGATTTGACATTAATATAAGCGCTAATCCGCACGTCTTTGTCGGCTCTCTAACTGCACTTTTAATGCAATCTTTTTATTTCAAAAATAAATTAATTTTAAGATTTAAAATATAAATATCTAAAAATATCACATTTTGTCGAAAGTGTTTCTCTTTTTTCGCAGACATAATATAAAACATAAATATTGCCTAAAAATATAAACCCATTGAAAAGTATATTCAATTGAAAAATCGATTATTTGTTAGAGAAATATATATATTTATATATAGTTTTGTATTGAAATTAATGTGACTCTAAGGAAGAATTTGGACTTAAAAATCAGATTTATTTTTATGCTTAAAATGAAATAAACTTTCGACACTATATTCGAGATAATGATATCTAATATAACTTAATTAGGAATGAAAGAAAAAGTCACCAAAATATATACCATTGATAATAAGGTAAATATAAATTAATAGCTATAAAAGTATTCAATAATAAATAGTATTCACCGATAAATCTGAGTCCCAGGGATGAGGACTCTAAGCCATTGGAGTGCAATGTTGTCAACGAATCAAATTCGTATTCATTCTCAGCCTAAATAGATGTGATTTTTTGTTTTAAAAAACATAAATATATATTAAAGTGAAAATGTTTTTAACTGAAGCCAAACACGAAAGCGTTTGTTTGAAAAATGAATCGGTTTTTACTTAATTAAAAGTTTAATTTACCGGCTGTTCATTAATATACCAGTGCAATAGCGCCGCTACACATCCATTGTAATTGATTTAAAATGCATTAAATTAATTAAATATTTCTCATGTAAATCACAATAGAAATGGTAAAAAGTATTTTGAGTGCAAACCGGGTTTGCTTTTGGCTGAAGTGCAGTTCAGTTCCACACGACTCCCAACGCCATAATTAGCTCGACTGCCGCTAATCTTTGGCCCTTCGCTCGGAAGCACTGTTTTATACATCAATTCATTTGTCAAAGAAATATCAATTCGAGTCCATTATTATTATGTCTTTCAGTTATTTCGCTCTCTTTTTTCACATCTCTTTCGCCAAAACATTGCATTCAATGAACACAACACAAGAAGAGCTCATTGAATGCAATCAACTCTCTATTTCCCATTCACTCCATTCGGATCCTTAATTAATCATTCACTTACCGAATACCTGCAAAAAATCATTGAATAAATCCATTGAGAATAAGACAATAAAATTTACATAATATATACTAAACATTTGCTTTAGATTACAATTATATGTGCAATAAAAATAACATATAATTTTATTTAATAATAAGCGACTGTTTTGGGCAAAAGTTATAATTTGAATGTCGTTTTCGCTAAGAGTATAATAATAATAAAATATGCGGTAATTTAAACAATTTGTGCTTTAAATCATCAGATAATTCATTTGACAATTATTTGTGTAAATTGTCAAAAATTATTTTTAATTGTCGCATAAAAGAGGGTAATTTATTTTTCTTAATAATATAATCATTGAATTTAAATCAATTAATCCGGATTTTCTTTTTATTAGTGACAATAATATTCATTATTTGTGTCCACAAAAAGAAGAAAATTGTAATCAATTATGAAGTGATAAAGTGATCAAATTTTTAATTCAATTAATATGTTATTATCGGAATTGTTTGTCTCGTTTGCTGAGAGGAAGTGAAACAAAATTGTGTTTTTATATACCAATAGTTTTATTGTCTTTTTTTGTTATTACAGAAATTGTGGCTAAACTTCGATATTATCGGCTGTGAAGCGAAAGTTTTATCACAAAAACTACTTTTCCATCTTTTCTTGCAATTGCATTTCTAACAAGAGTTTTGTAAACGAAAAGCTCTCTCTCTCTCTCTCTCTCTCTCTCTTATTATGGAGAAAGTTGTCTATCTTTGAAATAGTGATGGGAAGTGCTATAAGTCTATAGTCTGAAGCAATGAGTTCTCAATCACTCAGTTTTGTATCGAATTATTTTTGAAATTTTTCAAAGAAAAAGATCCTTCAAAAGAGATATTCTTCGGTCAAGACTTCAATATTGTTATACACTTTACTCCAAATACTCGATAAATATGTTTTGTATTTCTCTTATCGCTTACATTCTTGTATTCACAATAATTTTATAATAGTTTGAATAGTAAAAGGA